AATGTGACAATGAGTGTGTATATGTCCATGAATGACTGAAAAATTGTGCTGAACACTGGAATTTGACACAACATTGTAAAATGATTATAAATCAATAAAAAATGTTAAAAAAAAGAGTCCATGATAAGCTCTACTTTCAATCGTGACATATTAGTCATATGACTACATTGTGTTTTCAGTATCCTCCCTCACAATTAGAATTGTGTTTAGCTCTACCCAGTTCTTTGGACCCCGAATAAGGAGCTTTTTCTATCAAACCAGAGATTTGAAGAAATGTCTACAATCCACCCCCAATCCCTCTCCCTGGGAACACAAACAATGAATAAAGTTGTTATTCACGGCCATTTGTTATTTATATTATACCAAGTGGAACTCGGTCCCTTCAGTTGAGAATTAAATGCAGATTAAACAAGATTGAAGAGCTGAATTCCTTTTAACTGAGAGCAGAAAGAGAAAACATTGATTTGAATTACAGCTGCAAGGATTTGCAAACCTCAAGGCAAAGAGGCCTGAGTGGTGGATAGCCAGCATGCTGAGAGCACGAAGCTTTAGAGAGTGGACAGAGGTTGAGTCCACAGAATGGGGCAGCTGGCAAAATGGAACACATTTGCTCTTCAGGTCTGGAGGACGATATAGTAACCCATGCAGACATTTGGCAAGGGTGATTTAGGTCCTTTCAATTATTACAGTAATTTTGGTGCAGAACAGGCAGCCAGCTTCAGCGTGCAGAGGACCAACTGTGTGTCCTCTCTTGCTCTTCGGCTCTGGAGGGTAAGTCCAAATACCTTTAAGAACCACAGGCTCTCATTCCTCATCTCCTCAAAAGATGCCTCAATAAGACCCAGGCCTTGGAAGAGAAGGTGGGAGGACAGGGAGACAGCTGACAGCCACCTAGGAAGGGGCATCACTTGGAAGTCTTCACTTTGCCCCAGGTTTGTTAGGTACAGGCCTCCACACCTGAAGACTTACAGGAGCTTTCGCTGGGAGAGCCCACATCTCATTCCTGCACCCAACAACCAAGGCCTGGAGGGGAACAGGTGGCGACAGAACACCCAGCCTACTAGGAGGGAATATAGGCAACTGTGAATCCCCTTGTTCCCGGGCTGGGTAGGGGCAGACTCAAATGACACTTGTATCTCTGATACCTTGCCTGGTGAAGCCTAGGACTTATCTCCTCCACAGGGTGACAGACCTGGGGACCAGGCCCTCTGTACACACGTCAAACCATCTCTTCCCATAACTTCAAATATTACTTAGATGCTCTTGACTCCAACATCTTTACCGTTAGTCCAAACCCTTCTCCAGTGCTCTAGACCGGGGCTCAGCAAACGTTTCCTGAAAAGGATCACATAAATGCCTTATTGCAGTCTTCTTTTGATGTTAACAACCCTATAAAATTATTTAAAAAAAATTCTGAAGCTGGCTCTGGGACAGACTTGGCCCTGGCTGTAGTTGGCTGGCTGCTCCTCCAGACCTCCCTCCACCCTACTCCTACATTCCTCCCTCCTGTCCCTCGTTCTCTTACTTCTACCACCTGCTACACGTTTCTTTTCCTCAATAGCAGCGAATCTTCGACTCTGAGAGCAGCATGGTTTTTAGAGGCACCAATGTCATGCAGGGACATGACTGGAGGATTCACTTCCAAGGTGCCTTACTCGCATGGCCAGAAAGTTGGTGCTGGTTGTACCCAGCCCAGGACACTGCCCCCCACCCTTCTCTGCCACGGTCACTGCTTCATACCCAACATACAACAGTGGTGTGAGCTACGATAATTATAATACACCTGTAGATCTTCCCACTCAAAAAAGAAAGGAGAGAGACTCACAGAAGTATCTGATCCACAGCCATTCTGAAATTGCAGCAATTCTGAAACTGATCAGGGCTACTGGTAGAATTCCCTGATTAGACTCTAGGCCTGGGAACAACACTCCATGGCTCTTGACTCTGCCTTTTGGACCCTTGATTCTGACCTCTGAGTCATTCTTCTCCTCCCTTGAAAACCAGCTCAGGTTTCCACTTTCCTCAGCCTGTTTTCTGCTTGTAGAGGTTGGGGGGGGGGGTCCAGAGGACATGTTTTGATTTTGTGTTATCTACGTCCCGTTTACTCCAAGCTGGTCATGTTTCTGACAACAAAATTCTTTTTAAGAAGGCTGCGGGTCTTCTATGAATAGTATTAGAGTTAGACAAAAGCCATACCCACAAATCTCTTCAAAATAAGTGCCTGTCTCAGACACTTGAGCTGCTGTAGTAACATACCATAATTGGATGGGTCATTTCTCACAGATCTGGGGTCTGAAAGTCCAAGATCTGGGTGCCAGCATGGTTGGGTTCTGGTGAGCGCCTGTTTCTGGGCTGCAAATGGCTCACATCTTGCTGTATCCTCACTTGGTGGAAGGGGCTAAGGAGCTCTGTGGGGGCTCTACTAATTCCAAAGATCACCTCCCAGAGGCCCCACCTCCCATCACCATCACCTTTGGGGTTAAGATTTTAACGTTGGAATTCGAGGCAAAGAGGAACAGAAACACTCAGACTGCAGTGTGTTTGGCTTCTGGTGAAGGACTTGAGAGGCAGCAAACTTAGAAACTTTATTGTTTGACTAAAGGGTTTTCTGACCTTTGAGACCTTAAAAAATTTTACAGTCCTAGCCTCAGCTTCGTATTTAGACACTGATTTTCTGACAATGCTCTGGATTTGATCTTTGCCAGAACCCACATTTTGACTTTTAGTATTATGATGATCTGAAGGGCTGAGAATTTTCAAAACCTGCAAGTTCTTTCCCTTTTGATTGATCATCCTTTCCTTAGAGTCTCTCTTTACAATTATAAATAATTGTCATAGCTCTTTATAGCACTTTACTAAAAGCAGCAAACGAAAACCCACCAGAATCTTCAACACTCTGCCCATAAGCGTCCTGAAATGGATCACCCAGTTCATAAAGTATGTTTTCTACTTTTCAGGTTAACACAGGTAACACTGTTGCTAAAGCTCCTGCCCCCAGAAGAGCATCCCTTTCCTCCAGTTTAAAAACAGCATTTCTTCCCTTTCCTCTCACCCCTCCTATCAGCCTCCTTGAAGGCCATCAGACTTCTGTTAACAGTCTCTACAAAGCTCTAGGGTTTCTCTGACACTTTCTGTAAGGCCCTCCCAGCTCCTGCTTACTGCCTGGTTATACAGCCCTTCTCGCGTTTTAGATTTTTATTTTGCTGAGATCCTATTTCCAAGTATCAAATCAGTATTAGTTGCCTATAACTGCATAACAGATTACTCCAAAGTTTTGTGCGTTATCGTAGCTCACACCACTGTTGGATGTTGGGTGTGAAGCAGTGACAGTGGCAGAGAAGGCGGGGTATCTCTAAAGTTTGCTGGTCTACAGTCAAGGGGAACTGTATTTGAGTCACTGGAAGTGAAGCACCCCACCCAGGGAGTTGCCCTGGGACAATAAACAATAATTTTTTTTTAAAAATCACTCTCACAGTTTTTCTGGGCCAGGAATCTGTGAGCAGCTGAATTGGCTCAGGGTCTCTCATCTAAGAGATGTGACTTGCAACCAAGATGTCAGTGGGCCCTGCCGTCATCTGAAGGCTTGTCTGGGCTGGAGAATCCATTCCCAAAGTGGCTCATTCTTCAGCAGTGGCTGTTGGGCTGTTGAGGAGAGGCCTCCGCTCCTCCCCACATCCCAAGGGCTTGCTTGAGTCTCCTGGTGACAAAACAGCTGGCTTTCCACCTAGGGTACAGGAGCTAAGGGAAAGAGAGAAAGTAGCCAAAGATGCAGTATGATCACAGGGCTGCTGTAAAAATACTTACCATTTTCTGAAACTTATGGTCCATGTGCCACCCCTGTGTGGGGTATTTTCTGTTTGTTATCTCCACGTGGAAGGTGTTATTACTTCCATTTAACAGGTGAAAAACCTGCAGGGAAGTCATTTGCCCGAAATGTATAGCTAATGCCAACAGTTAATAGAATCTTGATCAGATTAATTTGACCTCTTAGACCTTTCTAAAGCCTGATAACATACCAAGCACTGTGATAAAAGATTTTCATAGTAGATCTTATTTTTCCTGAAAACAATGACATCCTCCCTTGGAAAGGGAAATAGATTTGATTAGGGTCAAGAAGTCTGGGTTCGAGTCCCAGCTCTGTGCTTTTTGACCCATGTGACCTTGACAGATTTCTTAACCAATCTGATTATGAGCTACTTCATCTGAGCAGTTGAAAGAGTATCACCTTTCTCTGAAGGATGTTTTTAAAGCTTAAACAGAGCACTAAGTCTGCATTCATCTGTCACACTGCCTGGTTCATAAAAGGCACTTATTCATTAAAACCTAATCCACATAGATTATACATGTATTGGGGTATGTTTCTTTTTTCTTTTTTCTTTTTTTAATTGAAGTATAGTCAGTTACATTGTGCCAATTTCTGGTGTACGTAATGTTTCAGTCATACATACATACATATACTTGTTTTCATATTCTTTTTCATTTTAAATTGTTATAAGATATTAAATATAATTCCCTGTGCTATATGGAAGAAATTTACCATTTAATATACTGTTTATGTAGTAGTTAATATTTGCACATCTTGAACTCCCAATTTATCCCTTCCCACCCACTTTCCCCCCAGTAACCATAAGTTTCTTTACTATGTCTGTTGAGTCTGTTTCTGTTTTATAGATTACTTCATTAGTGTCTTATTTTTTCTTTCTTTTTTTTTTTATTATTCATTCTCATGTTCCATCCTCCACCCTCCTCAACCAACTTACAACGACCCAACATAACATCTTCCTTTACATCTGATTTTATATTTTAAAACTCAATGCGTCTCTCCTCCCCTCAAAACTCGGACCAGGGACAAAAATATCCCTGGTCCAGATGTGATGGTCCCTGGGAAAAAGGGATAATTGGGTCCTCATATCATTCAGATGGTTTCTAATTGGGAGGCAAAGTGAAATCCAGACCAGTCTCCAAAGCAGACCTCCTGGGTTAGCTCTGCCATGTACCAGCTGTGTGGCCCTGGAAACCACCAGCTCTCGGTGGTTCAGATGCTTTTTCACTAAGATGGAGGTAACAGCAATACATACCTCTCAAGGTTGTTGTAGGAATTCGATGAGATATACCACGTCTAAGTGCTTAGCCTAGTGGCTGACAAATCCAATAAATGCGGTTTTTCTTAGGTTCGTGAATGTGGAAGTGGGCAGGGGCTTGGACAGTAGTTGGCTCTGCCCATCTCTGTGTGAGATGTGTGCCTACAAGATCGCAGTGGCAGCCATGGCTTTGTTGCTCCCTCACTGTCTGGATCAGCCCCACTAAGCATGCTTTTTGTCCTGCAAATCAGAGAGAGTCCTTGGTCTACCCCGTGGATCTCCTCAGGTCATCTGGAAGGAAGTTGTTCTTATCACGAAAGAAACATTTGAATGTTCCCTAGTAAAGGAAAAAACACAGGTAGATTTCAGGTTAAACATAGAAGACTCAACACATATTTCCACTCCCCTCAAAACTTTACTATCAAAATAAAATGATAGTAAAGGGGGAAAAACATAGAAACTCACAAAGACAAAGAACAGGAAAAAAAGACAATAATAAATTTTAAACTGTTAATATTTTTGAAGATGAGAAAGGATAATTGCATGACAGACTTACTAGGGAAGAAATGCTGAAACCAGAGACTACTAAAGGAGATCAAATGAAGCTGATTTAGGGTCATGACGTTCCAAAAAGCTCAGGGATTTGAGATAGTAGATATCTCCGAGAGCTGACAGGCAAGACAAACAGGGTGGGCAGACGGTCTGTATATGGAACAGTTGGTTTCTTTCATCCCTTCTTTCCTTCTGAGCAAACAGATTGAAAATGAAAGACTTGATCTCTGCAGAAGTGAACTACAGAGGCTCTGAACTAGGGCCGCCAGGTGCAGACAGGAACAGAGTGAAGTGCTGTACTAAAAACAGGGTTATTAAAATGAATGTTTACACTCTGAGTGCTAAGACCCTTAGCTCTCCTTTACTGTGTGGCTCCCAGCCTTTTGTCGGATGGTTTTATTATACACCCTGGGAAAGATTTGGATTTCTTCTTCATAGAAGCAGGCTGGCTCCAAGGGGAATAAAAAAAAAACTACAGATACTGGCCTTTCATGTGCTGAAAAAGCTGGCCCAGGTGTGATCACTCTGTGATGATACTTAACATTCAATACACTCTCTTTGCACCCAGAGTTCAGCTTCTAAATGCTTTACTTAGCCGAAGAATGCCAGATGTTTGAGAAAAGTCCCTAGCATGAAAGACAGAGATCAAAACAAATAAACTAAAGAAGAAGGGGAGGGGGAGGAGGAGGGGTGGGAAGGGAAGGAGAAGAAGAGGGAGGAGGAGGAAGAGGGAAAGGAGGAACTTATATGGAGCAGAAGAAAATTGCAACTAACAAACTATAATTTCCATCCTCAGAATATAAGAAAAAATATTGAATCCACAGTACAAGAACTGAGAAACTGAGAGAAGAGTTTGTGGAAATGGATCAATACAAGAAAAAAATTTATTGTTGTTAAAAGTCAATTGAAGGTCTGGAAAAGAAAGTAGAGGAAATCTTCTAAAATCTAGGGTAAAAAGTCAGAAATGAAAAAATAAGAGAGAAATATATGAAAATTAGACAAGGGAGTGTTATGGCAGGTTAAAGATGACTAAAAATTCTTTGTTATTCCTCTCACTGAGAGGTAGGGTCTAAATCCCCTCCTCTTAAAAGAAACTGGTGGTGGTAACTTGCTTGACCTGTAGACTGTGGTAGAAATGGTGTTCTGGGACTTCCAAGGCTGGGCAATAAGGACTCTTGCAACTCCCATCCAATCCTCCTATAATACTACTCTGGAGCCCACCACCATACACAGAGGAGGCTCAAGCAGCTCTGTGGAGAGTCCTGTGTGGAAAGGTACCAAGGC